ATACATTATGAAAGAAAAGCTGTAGAGTTGTGGCGTTCTGGAATAAAGAAAAGACGGTCTTTAGAATTAATCCAGCACTCTTTTAAGAATGTTCCTAATGTTAGAACATTATATAAGTGGGAGAAACAAATTGAAGACGGTGGTACAAGAGAAGAAAAATTATTGCAAATTTCAAAATTAGTCTTGGAGCAGTTTAAAATTGCATGTGAAAAATCTCTTCCTGTACACGATATCGACTTAAGACGATGGACTTTACAGGATAGAGAAAAAGTTAACTTAACACGTGATCTATTCACAGCTTCCATATTTTGGCTACATAATTTTAAAGTAAATAATGGAATTGTTTCGCGAAAGATAAATAAATTCGTTACACAAAAACAAGTATCGACAAAGGAAGAATTACTTCAAGCATCAAACCGATTTGTTTCTAAACTAAAATCGGAAATCTTATTAGTAGGTAAAAGTAATGTTTACAATTCAGATCAATTTGGTTTTAATTTAGAAACTCATGCAGGTCGCACGCTTCCTTTGAAAGGATCATTGAAAATAGAATGTCTGGCCCAATCGCTGAACTCTTTGACCCATAGCTATACAATACAACCAATTGTTTCTGCAGACGGAGAATTGAAATCTCCTTTATTAATTGTTCTGCAAGAAACAAATGGTAGATTTGGACCAATAGTTGAAAGAACTATGTATAAAGCCAATAACATTGTAGCTTTTGCGTCAAGATCCGGTAAATTATCACCAGAACTGATAATTAAATGGTTTAAAGACGTTTTTCTACCATCAACCAGGGAAAAATCTCTTCTTCTGTTGGACTCTTGGTCAGGTCAAACAAAAAAAACATTTGATAATTTAGATAGAGGGAATAAAAACGTCGAAATTCTAACGATTCCTGCAGGAACTACTGGATTTATACAACCGCTAGACTTTTATGCCTTTAGACCGTGGAAGAATTTTTTAAGAAAATTTTCCGATCTTGCAATTCTCTACAATTATGACGTGAACTTACATTTAAGAGACAATATCCTTAAAATCCAATCGTTAATACATAATCAGTTTGCCTCGCCAAGATTTAGGAATTTGTTTAGATATGCTTGGTGGAAAAGTGGATACATTAGTGAAAAGCCAGAGAAATGCGAAACACCTGTCGATTTCTCCATGACGAACTGCGAAAGTTCATGTGAAATGTGCAATAATATTGCAATAATTAGATGTGGTTGGTGCAAAACCTCAATCTGCATTCAGCACTTCTTTGCAATAAAAGGTGACAACCTTCCACATTACTGCTCCAACTTCAATTTATAATTAAAAAAAAAGTTTGGAAAAGAATTTCATTTGTTTCTAATAGCCAACACAAGGCTAACATGCTACATAATATGTGATTAGACACAAAAAAATATTGCTCTCATTGGTCTCGTTAACATTAATATTAATAATTTTAAAGCGCTTTTTGCAATATTAATCGTTTTAGATAGGCTTTCTGTGTACATATTTTGGTTTTTTTCGTATTATTTGTAATTTTTTTTTACTTTGTTCAGTAAGGTTCCAAGAATACGAATAAGAAGTTTAACATCATTTTGAGTTGTACAAATGGAGATATGAGTCAATGAATCAGAGAAAATGGGATTTTTATTTTGCTTTGGGTATAAATATTCATAAAAAAGTTTCTATTGAAGATAACGTCGTATTACTTCTTATTCATATAATTGATTATATTTGTAATCGAATGAAAAAAGGGCGAACGCAATTGGAATAATAGTTTTCGAGAAAAGTGTACCGAAAGTTGACTCTTTTTGCATTGTTTTTAGGTGACTTGGGTGTCCCCTTAATAATTCTTTTATTATATTTCGTGTGTTTTCGTTTTTTCTTTTCATGTTCTTGAATCTGAACATTGTGCAATAATAGCTTCTGCTTCGTAATTAGCGTCCTTAAAAACCCCCTAGTAACAAATTCCATAATTTTTTAACATTCTTTAGGGGCCGTCCATAAATTACGTAAGTCACTTTTTTGGAAAATTTGGCCACCCACCCCCCTTTGTAAGATTTTTTACATACGTTAGCGCCATTTTTTCTACGGTTCGTAAGATTTAGCAGACCCACCCCTCCCCCCAAAATGTCTTACGTAATTTATGGACGACCCCTTATGGAAATAAACAAATTTTTCAAAATTATTTCCGCCATATTGGATCCGCCATTTTGAATTCTTGAAAACTAACTCTATATTCGTAATCAGCGACCCCAAAAACCCCCGAGTAACAAATTTCATCAAAATCAAATGATTTTTTTCCAAGTTATTGCTTTCATCCCTTAAATTTTAAGAGGGTGTTTTCTACCCTTCAAACCAAAATTCGGCCGATATAAAAAAACACGTGTCAAATATTTTTTAGGGAACTACTTGTATGCAAATTTTCAGGAAAATCGGGGAGTGTCGGTTCTCTAGTGTTACTTGTAAGTATAATTTATTTGTAACAAATAACATTTATTTGAACTAAATATAATATATTTTTAACAAATAACACTTATTTAAACCGAATTTAATTTATTCGTAACAAATAAATTTTTATTTCGCCCTAAGACAAACATACGTTTCTTCTGGATGTAAAATATATCTATAATTAAATAATACGAATTACTATAAAAAAATATAAAAATATTATTATAATTATTATGATGCTAATGCACCCAGAGAAAAATGTAATTTAAACCAAAATTTGAGTTAAATAAACGTATATTTATCTCAGAACCAACTAGACTTTTTATTTGTTTTAAACAAAAATTTTATTCGACATAGATAAAACATATATTTGAGACAAATAAAATTTTATTTAAACCATATAAAATTCATTTGAAACAAATAAAAAGTCTAGTTGGTTCTGAATCAAATATATCTTTTCTCTGGGTGTATACTGTGAAAAAAATTATTTGATTCAAATAAATGATTGTCTATTATTCAATAAATATTTATTTTTATCATATAATTTTTATTTAATAATTAGCATATATTGAATAATAGTATTTTTAAATACTGAAATTATTGGTTCAAATACAGTTTATTTGATTTAAGTAAAAATTATTTGATTCAAGGTGGGTTCAGTCAGGGTAAATGCGGACAAGAGGTTTTGGAGCTTATAAATTAAAAATTTAGTTCGACGTCAATATTTCAACCTCAAATCACCTACAAGAGATTTTGAGTATTGCCAAGTTTTTATCTTGACAATTTTCAACAGGATAATGTGCAGGACAATTTTAATTTAATAATTAAAAGTGTCGATTAATGCAACAAATGTTGACAATCAATGTGAGACTGGTTCAGTATTTCATCTCCCATTTAAAAAATAACAAACTTAAAATTCATATAAAAATTTTTTATAATTCACTTGGATTTTTGATTTTTCTCAATTCAGTTAATAATGACAAGCTGTCTAAATTTACCCTAAGACAATAGAGAGTGTGAGAGAGAATGAGTTTTTTTTTGTTACATGGCTTGTTGCATAGCAGATAGCCAAAACACGAGAGAGTGAGTGTTACTTATTAAATTGGTAATTAGCGACCCCAGAAACCCCAGAGTAACAAGTTTCAAGCAAATCCGATCAACTTTTAAAAATGTCCGCCATATTGGATCCGACATTTTGAATTTTCAAAATCTGACTTTGGATTCGTATTCAGCGACCCAAAAAACCTCTGAGTAGCGAGATCCAAGCAAATTTGCTTAACCCTCCTAAGGTTTTATCATTTTTCAATTTTGAAGGAAATAAACTTTTATAATTTTGTTAAAATTAATTTTGACTATTTAATTTTTACTTTGATGTTAAATACAACTATTTAGCTTCAAGATGCACTGGAAGTTTTATTTATACAACTCTCGAATTGAATTTTTTAAAATAAATAAATGAAAGATACACCCCGAGTATACTCGGGTTAAACCGTAAGAAGGTTAAATTAAATCAATTAAAGTAATCAATTTATTATAAAATTGTTACGTTTATCCTTCATTTTGAATTTTCAAAATCTGACTTCGGATTCTTATATTCAGCAAGTCCAAAAACTTTTCTTTATCAAGTTTAATTAAAATGCATTAAAATTTGTTAAATAGATAGGTATTTTTTCCGGATTTACCACAACTGACCCTAAATATTTATTTGATAATAAACAAGAGGTTGATTATTTGAATCAAATAAATATTATCAATATTTGTATTAATTACTATTTTTCATATTGAATATAACAATTAGTACGATAATATATTTTACACTGGGAAAAAATTTATTTCATTCAAATAACCTATTAGTTGACTATTATCAATTAAATATTTACTTGATTCAAAAAATTTTTATGGGTCAATTAAATTGCATTTGCTTCAAATACTGAAATTATTGGTTCAAATATCATTTAATTGATTTAAGTAAAACTTGTTTGGTCAAGTAAATAATTATTTGATAATAGACAAGTAATTGCGGTTATTTGAATGAAATAATTTTTTTCAGTGTATTATATTATCAATTGAATAAATAAATAATTATTAATATTTACTACTTAATTTATCCACACATTTTATTCAAAAAAGAAAAAAAGAAGAGAAAAATTGAATTCACTTTGGAATATAATCGTTCGATTACTCGTGCACACTCTCACGTCTTATTCACTGTCTGGTAAAAGATATTGCGCAAGAGAAGTTGAATCGTGGTCATCCAATGGTCTAGGTCTTCTGGGTGACCGATGAACATGTTCCTTAAGGCCCCCTTCTCTTTAATGCGTATACAATACACAAAGTGTCTCTGTATTTCTCCACCTCTTTTTTGACGCGCGCGGTAAAAGAAGAAAGAGACCCATTTGAAACCCCTTTTTTCCCCTCTTCACCTTATCCCACCAACTTTTTGAATGTAATCTCACCTGAAACTTGAGGAATCCCAATTGGTACTGCTTCTCGACCCCCATCATGTCGAGGAGGTGAGAGCCCCACCTCGATCCTCGTGCCTCTAATGCCCAGGGCGTCCTGGGTCTAGGCGGTGTGGGCATGTACGCACTTCTGCCACATATAAAAGCATCGACTATCATCAGAAATTCGCCAGAACAGTGACGATCAGTGACAAAAAAAAGAAGAATTAAAAAACCCCAAGGGAAATTCGTGCATGAAGATGCGGTCTACCCTGGTCAGTGATGTTCAATGGTTTCTTTTTTTAATTGTAGAAACTATTTTTTTTCAAAGTTTTTCACTCGTTCTTTCCAAGTGTGGTGATATCCAAAATTATTGTGATTAGTGTTTGTCTTTGACAAAAAAGTGTGAGAAAAATCAGTGGAGATATTATAATTATTGTTCTTGGGAGAAAAAGTTGGGTTTTCTTTACAACCGGCAGGATTTTCATTCATGAAATGCTCTGAAAAAAGTTTCAATTTAAAAGAAAATTATTATTTATTTGCTTATTAATTATTATTAACAAATTACTGGTTAATTTTACTAATAAATTATTAACTAGTAATTAGTCATTAACAATTATTAATAATGTAATAATTAATAATATAATATTAAAATTATAATACTTGATAATAATAATTAGTATAATTATATTATTTTTAACTAATTATTATTTATCGAATTTTTATTATTAATAATTTTTAACTACTTATTAGTTACTAATTATTATTAAACAAATCTTTTTTGCTAATAATTGTTATCTACTTATTAGTTACTGATTATTATAAACCAAATTTTAGTTGCTATTAAATTTTAACCAATTATTAGTTACTCTTTATTTGTAACCAAATTTTAGTTGCTAATAATTTTTAACTAATTATTATAGTTATTAATTATTGTTAACTAAATTTTTGTCGTTAATAATTGGCTAATTTTTGGTTACTAATTATTAAATAAATTTTGGTTATTAATAATTTTTAGCTAATTATTAGTCCCTGATTATTATTAACTAATTATTAATGGTTAATAATTATTAAGTAGTGATTATTTTCATTCAAGAAATCTTTTTCTTCTTTTAAAAAAATATTTTTTATTCAAAAGAAAAAGATTTCTTGATGATGATTAATTTTATCAGGTCTTGTAACGGGAAAAGTGTTGAAAATATTTTGATAAAACTAAATCAGAAAGAGTATTTTAGAAAAAAAAAATTCTCAACACTTTTATCGAGACAATATTTTTCTATAGTTTTAAACTAAAACTTTTTTCTGAGTGCATCATAAGATTAGGACTTCTTTTATTTAAATATACTATTTCTTGAAAAAGTTTTTTTACTTGAATTTTAATGTTCTTTCTTGAAGTTAGAAAAGAAAAAACATTTTATTTAAATTGAACTTGAAGTAATCGAATGTTTTGAAAAATAGAAACAATCATTCAATTCACGAATATTAATAGACCAATTAATTATTTAATTGAATTTTTTCATTAAAATAACAAAAAAGTAATAATACAATTATGTAATAATATAAATACACAAATAATACAAAAAAAGAGAAAAGAAGGAAAATAAAAAATAAATTTATTTAATAATAAAATGTTAACTAAATTACAAATGAAACAACATTATTTTTTTGAAATAATTATTTTAAAAAATTATAATATAATTATATTTAAACGAATATAAATTAATAATTGAAATTAAAAATTTAAGTTGAAAATTTAGATAGTTCTATAATAATTGAGGAAAGATCATTAATCAGAAATCTCTTTGGTACAATATAGTAGCGTTTATAGATCAAGAGTTTGGTACCGCGGTCAGAGAAACAGTTATTTATCTTCTTGATACCATTGAAGCTATCATTTGAGAACATGATTACATCAAACGTTAAACGTACACTCAGAAAACTATATAACATTGCAATTAATGAAATATTTTTTTAAAATGGAAATTCTGTTTTATGTAATCAGTATGTAATCATAATTTTAAATACAACCAATTACCCATACTCTACTTAGTTTAAATCGTATAAAAAGACTAATTTATTTTGCATAATCATTTTTTCAAATGCTCATTCATTAATTTCATTTATTACACACCAACTTATTTACATGAGTATATTATTTTTATAATTTTTTTCCTTGAATATAATTTTCTTTATCAATTTTTTTTTATAATTAAAAAAAAATTCTACTAGATCTTTTATTACACTTGAATATAATTTTTACGAATAATTAACTTTTGATGTGTAAAGTCAATATTTCATGCAGATTTTTTTTATATAATTATTTTTCTTGTCTGGTAATTAAACTGTACGTTTGACGATGATTAATTACATTAGGTGTGAGAAGAAATTTCTTTCCACTTTTCATGTGTGAGAGTAATGTGAATTTATTAAAGTCAATTTTTTTTATAAAAGGTGTAAAGAGTGTGAAAAATATTACTTTAATTCACAAAATTTTTAATTATATTAATTTCTTTCTATATATTTTTTTCTGATTAGTTTTTTTCTATGAATTTCAAATTTTTTAGTTATAAATTTTTGTTAAATATTTAATTTAATTACGTTTTATTTTTATATTTTTATAATTTTTTATAAACGTAATTTTTTTGATTTTAAAGGAAAGATTTAAAGTTTAAAAAGTAAACTTCAAATTATAAATTTGAAGTAGTAAATAAGGTAGAAGAAGAAAAGGTTAATAATTTCTTTCTTATTTGGGAAATATTTTATATTTCTTTTAAGAGTTATAAATTTGTTTTAATATTATTATATAGAGCACTTGGAGAATTTTTCCTAATATGATATTTTTAATGGTTTCTGATATATATATATTTGCATGTTTATGTTTTCCATTCTTACGACCAATTTACAAAACGTAAAAGGAATTTTTATTCTTCAGTGATTTTTATAAGAACGTACATTAGTTCCAGAGATGAGCAAAATGATTTTATGAAAAAAGTGATGTTTCACTTCGTTGCATTGATAGTTTTATTACTTTTCTTAACGTTGAAACTACACAAAACAAAAAAAAAATTTCCCATTGTTTGTTAATTTTTTTCTACTCGCATTAAAACTGTTTATTAGATAAATTTAAATGCAGTTGAAATTAATTCATTGCTTCAGCAATTTAAATAACTGAAGGGACTGAAATTAAATTTTGTAAAAGAATATTTTTATCTACTTAGAAATTCAATAGTTAATTAATTCATGATCGAATAGTTAATTAATTAGTAATTAGCTATTTAATTGCTTATCAATTAAATATATATAATTACTTATTAATTGACTATTTAATTACTGATTAGGATAATTAGTTAATAAGTAATTAGCTATTAATTACTAATTAAGATAGTTAATTAATAAGTAATTAGCTATTTAATTATTTATTAATTGAATATTTAATGACTAATGAAGATAGTTAATAACTAAGTAATTAGATAGTTAATTGATAAGTAATTAATTACTTAATTAATATGTTGGTAATTATATAGTTAATTAATAAGTAATTCGATAGTTTATTAATAAGTAATGAAATAGTTAATTAATAATTTATTAAGTAGGTAAATATTTAGATTACTTGTAATTAGGTGTTTAAAACATTGGTTTTCAAAAATTGTGATTTTAAATTTAAAAAAATATTTAAACATTCCATTAAACAAATGGAATTTCGAATATAAAAAAGTTTCTTTTATCTTGGTTGAAAAATCTGAGACAGTTAGGAAGTTACCTGAGTCTGTAATGACCACCTGAATATTCTAGTCAACGAAAATTTATAACATTGTCCCGCATCCAAAGTGTGTCATATCAATAATTCTTCTCATAATGTCAAAAAACTAGCACAAAATTTTACCTGCTTTTCTTTTTTTTCTTATTATTATTGAGATCAACAGGGTTAATCTGTTGATGTAAAATATTAATTTTTTTAAAATTAGGCAAAGATAAGAATAAAGCATTAAATTAATAAATTGAATAAAAAAAATTGCTATTTTTAGTTATTTTAGCATTTAGGAGAGAAATAAAAAATATTCTATATTGAATAAAATAATTAATTAGATAGCTAATTAACTAAATAAATGTACCAAAAAATATTTTGAAAAAATGAAAATAAAAAGTATATAATTTAAATTCTGTATTCAAAAATAATAAAAATAAAAAATATAATAGTAAAATTTAAAAAATACAGAGAATAAAAAAATAAACGTATAAAATTGAAAATAAAAAATTACAAAGTTATATAAATGATAGTTTATAATAATTTAATAATAGACATGCGAAAAAAACTGATCTTCATTTTATAAAATCCACGACAATAATGAAATATATAATCAATCAAATTTCTTTTTAACAACTGATGATTTATTTGTTAAATGATACTCCCAGGAAACTTTCGAAATTTCTCCAATCTTTTTTATTTATTTTTTGCCATTGCGAATATGAAAGATTTTGAATAAAAATATTTACAAATAATTTCTATAGTTATTCGTGATCGATGATTTGCACGATCACGACACAAATGTCTCGGAGGCGTGAACTTTATATATACAGTCAAAGGAACATTAAATCTCATTAAAAATTAAAAAAAAAATTCAGAAAAAATAAAAAAGAAATGAAAACAATTTTTTTTTCTCGACACACAGCTGGCAGTCGAAGTAAGTTTGTTAAATGACTTTCAAAGGCAAGGTGGGCGCGAAACTCTCAAAAATGACAATAATCACGCGCTATACGTAAGAAGAATCGTGCGGAAATAATAAAATGTAAAGCCGTAATAATTGCGTGGCCGATTGAAAAATAAGACAAGTTCAGTCTCTCCCTGGCACTTTCACTGAGAGCGAAGCTCATAATATTACATCCTGGAAAAAAGAACCTTGCGTCCTTGTTGGAAAAAAACAAAAAGAAGAAAAAAATAGTGGGGGAATTTGACCTAATTCGTGTATACAACCATCAAAGAGGGATCTTTCCATTCCTTGCGACTTTCATTTTTGAGTGCCGTCAGAAATTTACCTGATGGGAATTCCGCGAATACAAAAAAGACGCGTGTCTTAACTTTGAGAAATGAAGATTCATTTTTTTCTATATAATTTTACACAATGATTTTTGTTTCTTTATTAAAACAATCTGGGGCTTTTGATTACCACGATAGTTAATTAAAAATATTTATTCAAAAAAAAACTTGTTTCCAATTTGATAATTATAAAATAAAAATAAATCAACTCTCTAAATTTAAATTTGTAAAAATATTTACTAATTTGAATTAATGACTGACTTTTTGCTTCTGAATTGGCAAATTTTACTAATAAATTGTAATTTCTACTAATTAGTAAAATTTATTAATATTTTAATGTACACAAAAGAAAAAAGTCAGTCACTAATTGAAAATAGTAAAAATTTCAAAATTTACTACTGAATTTAGTAATTTCTACTAATTATAAGTAAAATTTATTAATTAAAAAGCAAAAAGATAGTCACTAATTCAAAGTAGTAAGTATTTTTACTAATTCAAATTTTGAGAGAAAGAAATAATTTCTATAAGATTAAAGAATTGTTTTTAAATTAAATTAAATTAATTAAAAATTAGGACCGCAGGCTGCCTAATGTATTAATTAAAAACATAAATAAAAAATTTAAATTATACAATGTTATAAATTATAATTATAAACAATATAAAATAAAAACTATAGTCAGTGATTTAATACCCAACATCTGAGTGAAAATATTTATCGAATTGAATGAATGTTTCTTAGATTGAAATAAGTTCTCGTAATTAAAAAAGAAAATATAAAAATTAAGAAAATAGGCATGTTTCACTAAATTTAAGAAATCTTTTTCTTCAAAAAAAAAAAAAAAAAAATGAAAGAAATTTTCTATTTATTTGATTTAGTCAAATAATTTTTTTTCATTCATTTTTTTATATTTAAAGATTTTGAAAGAAAGTAGGTAGTAGTTGATGAATTTTGACGATTCGTTGACGTAATCTCATGTACAATATATATTCATGCGGAAGAATAGAACAGAGAAGCCGATTAAGAATAATGAAATGAGAAGAAAAAACTTGTTTTGAAATCGAAACTTCTTTTGAGCCGCAGAAGCTTAAACCTGTCAGGATGATAACAAGATCTAATTAAAGACATATTAGTTATCGCAAAAGACACATCAAGGCTTTTAAAAAATTTCTCTTTTCTATTTTATATATTCCGCACTTCCTATACTGGCAAATAAATTGAAACTTATACATATAGCATAAATGAATTGACAAATTTATAAAGACAAATAAATTAATGACTATTCATTCTTCTTTTAGGTACTACTGGGGTGCCTACTGATCGTCTCCACTCTCGGGGAGCCAATCAGGGAAAAGAAGGAGTAGGTTTCACTTATTTTACCTATTTTTTATTATATGTACCTGTTTATACTTATTTAATTTATTTTTGTTTACATTTATTTATATTTGTTTATTTTTTTAATTATTTACATTTGTTTATATTCTTTACATTTGTATATATTTGTTTATATTTACTTACATTTGTTTATTTGCATTTTGTTTACATTTATTGCTATAGCGCTAATGTTGAGTGGGAATAATTAATAATTTATTTATAAATTGATGTAATTTATTCATTTTTAATTAATTAAGAAGTACAAATAATGAATATTAATTTATGCATTAAATTATATGAAATATAAGGCTATTAATAAATTACTTAATAAATAATTATAATAATTACATCGATAGCTTTTATTTAGTTATTTAAGGGCATTTGAACCATGATAACGTCACGGTTTTCGAACATTTTCTTTGCACAAAGTGTGACGTCATAATGGTTCAAATGCCCTTAATTGATAAATTAATACATAGATTATTGTTGGTATACCAAAATAAATTAATTATTTAAAACAAATAATTTACTTAAATTATTATTTAGATTAATTTAGATTATTATTTATCTATTTATTTATTTATTTATTTATTTATTTATTTATTTATTTATTATAAACGTGACTTTCCCTTTCATTATCATAATCAAAAAATTATTTATTAAAACAAATAATTTATTTAGATTTGAGGGATTTACAATAATTTTTATATCTTAATCATATATAAAAAAGTTATATCAGTAGCGAATAAATTAAAATTATTTTTTACATTTGCTTTTTTGAAAAATGATTTATTTATTTAAATTTTGCAAAAAAAATAAAGAAAGAAAAGATTCGCAATTTCACTTTTTTGTATAATTCAATACATAAGTATATCTAATGGAACTATTGGACATTGAGGTGAAAGTGCTTTCAAGAAATGTTTATAATTATTTTTTATTTGTGAGATTTGCATAGTAATAATATTTTAGAAAAGAATTTCTAAAGTTTATAGATGTTGTTTGACTTTACTTCGAATGAAGAATCAGGACCTCTTCTATATTAAGAATCCTTATATTTGACATTTAAAGTCCCAGTGATATTAAAAACTATCTATTCAAATATGTTTGGCGAAAGTTTAGGACCAATTTTTTTAGTCTCAAATCACTCTATGATTTTTTTGAAAATTTTTTTTTTTATTTTTTTAAATTTTTAATTTGTTTACTGATATTTGCCCGAATATGCCTAAATAAATAAATATTGAGTAAAGAATTCATTTATTATTTTATCTTTGATATTATTTGATTTAAAAAATTTTTTAATTTATCAATTTAAAAAAAAACTGACGTTAAATAATTTTCAACAATATTTATTTATGATTTTTTGTTTCACTGCTGCTTTTATTTTTTATTCATATTGTAATAATATTGTAAGCTACTAATTTTATTTTCTTTTATATTTTTATAACTTTGTGAGAAACGTATTACTATATCGGAATTGTCTAAACATGGTGTTTTTTGTTACTGGCAATATAAATAGTTAAGTAACAATTATAAATGTATGTAATAATACTTAGAAATTATTTTTGGAAAGTTTTTATTATTTTTCTTTTATAAAGTTACAGTAGTCTAAAAATGATTGTGCAATAAATATTTATAAAGAAAATAAAAATGATCACTTTCAATTTTTAAGTATCAATAAGCATAATATTTTTGGTTAGTGAAAGTAAATTCAAATTAATTTAATATAGAGCAGAACACCTGTTCTTTATATAGAAAATACATTTCATCATAAATCGTTAAAGAGCCATTAACTATATGCTTTTTTTTTCTTCAGTTCTTCTTTAAAGGGAAACACTTTCACTTGAAATTCTTTCAAGTTCAATTTTTCTGTTTTATTGTAAGGTTGGATATCATCATCATTCTCCTCACGAGAATAAGAAAATATTGATTGAATAATGAGAAAAATGATGGAAATTAAATCAATTTGTAATTAGTAGTGAAAAATAGCGATGGATTTATTTAATGAATAATTAATTGAAATTAAATTTCTCCTAAGAATTAACATATTTTTAAAGATTTTAATTAATTTTTTCGCGAGAAATGTAATTATTTTGAAAACATTAAAGAAGAAAATTATCAACAACAAAAAAATTAGGAAACAAAAAAGCAAACAAGAATAACTAACTTCAAACTGCAAATACACGATACAACTGGAATACAATAAACAGTAAAAAATAAATAAATAAAATGACCAAAATACAACGATAATAATTAATATCTAGATTTTATTTTTTGATAATTTCTTGCTTTATTAACGATTTTTGATATTTTTTAGAGCACCTTTGATACAATATGGAGCACCTAATGTGGGAATAAGTGACTCTTATGGTGCACCACCATCGGCACCGGGACTAACGTATGGTGCACCGTCAGGAGGCGGCGACATTGGATCTTTTGGAGGTGATCATGGAGGTTCCTTTGACAGTGGTCATGGGTCCGATCTTTCCACTAATATTGCTGGTCCAAATTCTTATGGTGCACCATCACCATCTTCTTCGTTCGATCTGCCAGCACCAGCTCCATCTTATGGAGCACCAGCACCATCCTATGGAGCACCAGCACCATCCTATGGAGTACCAGCACCATCCTATGGAGTACCAGCTCCATCGTATGGAGTACCAGCACCATCCTATGGAACACCGGCACCATCCTACGGTACACCAGCACCATCCTATGGTCCACCAGCGCCTCAAGGCAAATGGGAAAAGAAACTCACCTGGAAATCGGAATTAAAGCAAGTATGGAAATCCCAATCGAAACTCACTTGGAAGCAGGAGTGGCAGAAAGTTGAGGTACCCGTCTGGAAAAACGAGCAAGTGTCAGTGTGGAAAGAAACGCAAGTACCACAGTGGAAGAAGGTTCAAAAACCAGTGTGGAAAGAAATTCAGGTTCCAATTTGGAAGGACGTGCAAGTGCCGGCTTGGAAGAAGGTTTGGAAGCCAGTTTGGAAACAAGTTCAAGTGCCAATTTGGAAGGATGTTCAAGTGCCAGACTGGAAGAAAATTTGGGTGCCAGAGTGGATAAAAATTGGTATTCCCGGCGAACGGATCGTTGGCAAGGACAATGAGGGTTGGCAGTACACGAGTCACGATCTCTGGAAGAAGAAACTCATTTGGAAGCCTGTGTGGAAGAAGACCTGGAGGAATGAGAAGAAACAAGCCTGGGTGACTGACAAGAAACTCGAATGGAAACCAGAGTGGAAGCAAATTTGGAAGACGGAGAAGAAGCAAGCTTGGGTCACCGATAAGAAATTAATCTGGAAGGAGGAGGATGTTCAAGTTTGGGTGCCACACAAGAAACAAGTGTGGGAGAATCAAAAGAAGAAGGTCTGGAAGACCGAGTGGAAGAGTAAATGGGTTCCAGTCTGGAAGGATGTTCAAGTGCCTGATTGGAAGAAAGTTTGGAAACCAGTTTGGGAGAAGGTCTGGGTTCCAGCGCCAACTCATCACGAAGACGAGGGTTACAAGTATAAATAAATTAGTGAACAAGAGGAAAATTAATTTTCTTCTTTTCGTTGTGTATTTAAAAATGAGTTAGAAAATTTTATTCTGAATTTGAATCGGAATATATTTTCTTTGTATTTTGATTTGTATTTGGAATATTCTTTTTTTGTTTGCTTATTTTTATTTATAGGTATAGGTTGTATAAAAATTGTTGTCCTGGAGGCTTTTTTCCAGGACAAGTCTGTTGAATTTGGTGTATAAGAAATATCGAGAATTATTCAACTAATCATTCGAGTTTGATGATAGACTGTTGAATGATGCTCGAGTAATGATCGACTTTTTTTTGTTTTATTTCTGCCATTGTAAAGGGACGAACAATATAGAACAAAATGTAACTCTAACGATTTAATAAGGTACAAAAGTATTTAAAAAAGGCTTTTTATTCATAAAATTCTACTTATAAAATAGAGTAATAAAATTCTATTTAAAAAATAGGATTTTATCAATTACGCTTTTTGACAACAATTTTATAAATGATAGAATTCACAAATAATAGAATCATTTAAAAAAATTATTGATGACTGAAAATCAAATTCTTGGGCTTGAACTAATTTTTTTCCACATGAAGTTGACTTTATTTTATTATTGTTTTGATCGAAATAGACAATTTCGATCAGAAATAGAAGTTTTATTTTTGTACTTTATAAAAATATCGCGTGTGTGTATATATAAATATGAATATGAAATATTCATATAGATATGAAAAAGAAAAGAAAGAAATGTACACGGGAAAAAAACATCAAATTGTATAATGGTAATTAATTATAATTATCGTCTCGTACTGTAAATAATGTTAAAAAACAAATTTTTCCTATTATTGTAAGCGAAACTTTAGAATTAAGGTACTTTTTTTAATGTACGAATTGAAAAAATTAATATTTTTTAATAAGAATAAAAATATGTTTTTCTAGAAAAAAAGAGGAATTTTTAATTGGCTTTTACAATAGGATCATTAATTTACAAGGATAATGAATTAATTATTTTTATCATGATTTTTATCGCGTGTTTATTATTTAAAGACGCGTTCATAATTTGGATTGAATATGTTTGCGATTCTAGTTATAATGAGCTCGATTTCTGTCCTTCCGCTGATATAAACGGGCAATTACGACAGATTTTCACAAATTGCAAATACGCGTTTATTAATTAGCCTCTGGGGAAAAATTAATTTTATATAACAATTATAATATTGCTGCGCAAAAAATTTGCCAGTGTATATAATTGTTCACTAAGAAAAAAGATATTTGACTCAAAGCCAACTAAACTTTTTATTTGTTTCAAATAAATTTTATTTGCTTCAAATAAATGTTATTTGATTGTTACAAATAAATTTTAATTAATTAACTAGATAACTGTTCTAAAGCTATTGTTAAATAAACACATATGTTTTATTAACTAAATTACCTGTTTTAGGCATACTGGTAGCTACCAGAAAGTAGTTTTAGTAGGCTAGGAATAGAATTTAACATTTAGCCCCAGTATGGGGCTAAATTAAATGTTAAAAACATAAAATTTTCAAAAATGACTGAATAACTTCCCAGAAGAACCAGAGATATCACCATCAATTGGTATCACAATCTTAAATTCCGTTTTTCTCGAAATGAGGTTTTGAAATTCTGTAACTCGTCGAATTTTTCACCAAAAAAGTTCTATGACCACTCAAAATTTCCCAAATTTTGCAAGAAATTTGTCCATGTAGATAAGTCTAATAGTACCAAAATGGGCCCTTTTCATGTGGACGTTCACATATATTTGCATCTAAGCGGATTTATTGCCTAAAAACATTTTTGCAAAATTTAACATTTAGCCCCAGTCTCCCCTTCTTTTATTTGATTCAAATAAATTATATTTGGTTTAAATAAAACATTTCTATGGGTGTAGCTATTTTGCTTTGTTTATAGAAAAATGTCGAAATGGAAATTAATTTTGTTATGGTTTGGTTTTAAATAATATTGTTGATTAAATTTATTTTTAGTAGATATTGATCTATTAATTAAATCCTGAGAAATATTTTATAATTATAAACCAAATATAATAATTTATTTGAGTCAAATAAAAGTATATTTGTCACAGAACCTACTAAATTATTTGTTTTAAATAAAAATTTTATTTATGATTTTATTATTTTAGTACCATAACTGAAATTTATTTGAAACAAATCAATAATTTTTAGGTTCTGAGTCAAATATATCTTTTTTCTGGGTGTAAACTTTTAATAATAATATTTATTAAATTAACTATAATAATTTGAATGTTCTTTCATTCATTCACTTTTTCTGTCCCTCATACTCTAAAGTTGTCTTTTGTTTATACTTTTGTTTTTTGTTATCTTTAGATAGATTGTATATTATATTATTATGTTATAATTATTTTTATTTTATAATTAATTCAAAATTGTAATGACAAATAGAAATCATCAGAATTTTTCTCACTCCTTTTCATTAAAAGACTAAAATTTTGTTAAATATTATGTTTTGTCAAATTGAAATTATGCAGATTTTTGTTCTTTACTTCTAAACAAAATTAGAAAATTGTTAAACAACTGTGATTAAGAAATAGAAAATTTATTTCGTTTGCATATTATTTTTGTTTATGAATCACAATTTTTTTAACAAAATTATTTATTACTATTATTTTCTAGAATTTTAAATTGAATTCTTTTTGGGAAATTTTTTTAAAATAGTAGATATTGAAAATCATTGAAATTAGAAAATTTTTTGAAAATAGTTGAAATTAGGACAAGAATTTTTTTGACATTTATAAAAATAATTGAATTTTATATTGTGCTGTTATTTTGTTTGGATTTACAATTTTAGTGTGATAAAACTATAATTGAATTTTGTAGAAGAATTTTGTTATTTACAAAGATAATTGGGATTTTTACGAGAATTTTTTTTCAAATTCTGAACATAGGTGAATTTTATAAGAAGAATTTTATTTTTTTTTTAAATAATTGAAATTCTGAAATTATTTGTAATCTCTACAAAATTGAATTTTTTTAGTGTTTTCAACAAAAATTTAAATTAGAAAATTTTTAAATTCTATTATTTTTAAAATTATTTTATTTAAAAAAGGCAGTAAGAAGTTAGCCGCGCTCTTTAGGGCGCGAATTGTTGCTGGTTATTGATAATAGTAATATTTATTATTTAATTTTTTGTATATAAAATCCATTAATTAAGTTTTTGACTATTAATAAATTTTAATAATATTACAATGGAAAAAAATTTATTTGATTTAAATAAACGATGAGTTGTCTATTACCAAATTTTTATTTAAGTCAAAAAATGGTATTTTCTCTAGATACTGAAATTATTGGTTCAAATACAGTTTATTTGATTTTTTATTAAATGAAAATGATTTGATGCAAATAAATATCTGACAATGAGTTAAATACATTATTTTTCTGGGTGCCAGTCATCGGTTAGTTGAATCATATAAATTTGTTTTTAGTGCAGATATTTTTTTAACTTATTACGAGAAAATATACATATTATAATTTAAATTTATTTCCCTTTGTTAAAATTTAAATATTGAAAACAATTTTCTACTTTGTAATTATTAAAAGTACAAAAGTTATTTTTTGTATTTGCAATGAATTCGAAATTATTTAAAGTTTTCAATTGTTCTCGGTGTTATTTTATTGTTTTGGGTAGGAAAGTAAAACGAGGAGAGAAGAATTGAACATTGAAATGTAAAGTATCTCAAAATTTAGAGAGAAAGAGAAATAAAGAAAAGAATTGTAAATTCGTATGTTTTATGTAAAGTTTGGTCAATTTGAATGAAAGAAGAGATAGTTAATGACTGGTAACAACATAGACCGAAGAAATAAACATATATAGCTAAGGAAGATGCTTTCTAAGGATAAGACAAGACTCCGACTCCAAGGGACCTAAAGATTCTCCAGCAGGGTCGATAGGGTCATAAAATAAACCCATGACCTTTACTTTCTCCCTGTGCCCGATCATGCACACATAAATGTCTAAAGAAGCGCATCTATGCGAACTACCCGAGGAACTACCTGATTTTTCGTATCATAAAAGCGAACATTTTTTTCCCTTTATCAAATCATTTCTCTATAAACTTGAATTAGTAAAAATGTTTTCTAATTTTAATTAGTAAATTTTTACTAATAAATTAATAGAAATTCAAAAGCGCAAAAAGTCACTAATTCAAATAAGTAACAGTTTTCTTGTGTACAAAGCAAGTAAAGGTCGAAAAATTGAATTTCTGAACTGTTTGTAAAAAATCTTAAATATAAAAAACTGAAATTGAAGAAACTAAATTGACAGAGAGAAAAGAATGTTTCTATAATGTGGAAAAAAAATTGACAAATATAAAATTTTTTTAAAATTAAATTGATGAGGATAGAAATCATAAAGAAGGTTTATATTCCAATGGGAAAGTCACATGAAAGACTTTCCTGTGAACGGGTATGTTAAAGTGAAACCGGAAACTGCAGATAGTCGCGAAGCTAAATGACTTACTGATCCTCTCCGCAGAGTCTAATAATTGCTCTCGTCGGTTGATTTGCCGAAGGCAATACCTATCAAAACATATGAAAGTGATCGGATACTGTCCGCTTTTGATATATATGAAAAATTAGAAAGAGAGAGAAAAAAAAGGAAAGCATAATCATTATAATAATATACAGCAGGTGATAATATAACAAGTTTACCGCAGTTTAAATAACAAATAGCTGGTTATTAATAACAAAATAACGGTATATGTAAAATTATGCTGGTGGAATCCAATATCGGTTAATTAACCGCAAAATTGTTTCGGCTTACTCAACCTCTCAACATATTCGATTAATTGCTCACTTTCGAAATTATAATAAGGGTCATTTTTTTAAAAATATTTTTCCAGAGTGCATAAAAATGCAATTTGTTTTGGATTTTAAAAAAAGAAAAATGATGAGAGAGTATAATATGGGGAAGTAATTATTATATCACTGGGAAAAAATTGATTTTCTTTTTTATATTTTATGTAATATGATGGTTACTACTTTTTTCGTAATTTTTATTTATGGACGGGTGAACCACTCGATTGACCTTTAGGAATAATTTTACACGGTTAGTTAATTAAATTATTTTTTTATTATATTTTTTACATCTACACTCGGAAGCAAATTATGATTGGATCGAATAATCTATTTTATGCAACTCAAGCGTACACTGAGAGAACATTATAGGTACTTAATTCAAATAGAAAAATAATTTTAAGTGATTTTAAGAGTAGAGATGATTCTATCACTCAGTCGTATTTTCACTATTTATT